ACACGAGGAGTTTAACATATATTTATTGTATGATATATTTAACATTTATTATATTATAATATCATATATAGTTAATATTTAACATATATTTAGAAACATTTTTTGAGAATACAGTAATTATTTTTTTTAATTTAAAAATTTGTTGAAGAATTTATTGAATTTAAAAAGTTGTTGAAGATTGACCTTGTGTGGAATGGAAGAGATTTTGAAAATTAAATCTTGTTGTAATAGAGAATTGGCTTAGTCTCCCCAACCTCTTGATTAGTAATCTTGGTAAGCAAATTGGAGAATGTTCACTTAAAGCATTCAAAAGTGAACAGGATTAGCTGTAATTGCAAATCTGCCTCTTCCTCTTAATGATGCCCTTGGAAGGTCACAGGGAGTTCAGTGTTTCTGTCTGGCTTTTGGACCATGCTTGTTGCTGTGTGTGCGGGAGAGAGTAGAACTGATCCCAGTGACTTGAAAACGAAGCTTTTTGTAGAAAACTAGTATTAATTAGCAGCTTAGACTACCTCTTTTACATTTTTAGGGAATTCCTTAACACTAAACTGTAAAACTTTGTTTTTAAAATTTTGAATTGATTTGTACTAGTGGTCATCTGTTTAGTCTTCTGGTTAGTGGATGGTAAAATACTGGTTTTTATCCTGCTGTTTTCACTTTTGGAAGATCTGTAGCTTTTTACAAGCCAATTAATGGTACTGACAAATTCAACTCAACTAACTATGTACATGTCCTTCCTCTGGCTTTCAGTGTCTGCAGTTTAAGTCTAGGATGACAGTTACCAACTTTACTTTCTTTTGTGCCTGTTTAAAGTAAATCTTCCAAGAAAAGGAGTATTCCTCCCTCCCCTGCCCAATAATTTGTGTCCACTACTCTCAGCTCTGTACAAAAAGACAAGTGTTGGGCACATAATCCGTATTTTAAGATTTTCTTACGATAATTGCTCTTCCTAGACTACTGTCCAGCTTGTCATACCACAGAAGTGGGCTGCTTAGAATGCTGCTAAGGAAAGCCTCATGTGCCGTTCAGTTGCACAGTATACCCCTAAACTTGAGAGGAAATACTAGTGTTTAGCTTAGAAGCAATTACTTGAAGTTACGTCTCCAAAAGGGAGGAGGCAGAATGCTCGTGAAGATGGAGGAGTGGTCTTCAACAATACTAGTGAGAAACAGCAACTGTTTCATCAAACCTCAACTTACTTAACCATGCTTTGCAGTTGTTTTTACAGCATCCCTTATATTCTGAGGTGGAACTGCAGGGTGTTTTTTCTTTTTGTTTGTTTGGGGTTTTTTGCATTTGTTTGTTTTTAATGTTGTTTTACCTACAGTTGAAATGACTGTTTTGTAGAGCACATTGCTGCTGATAGTCTCTTTGTAAATAATCCAAAGAAAAGCTATCTTGCATTGGAGGAACAACAACAACATGCTTTGGTTCTGATCTTAGCGGCTGGTTCGAGTCTTACCTTCATTTTGGAGGAGCCCACTGCTGTTGATATGAAGGAGTATTGTGGGGTTCCCCATCTGTGGACTGTGGTGGATTATGAGTTTTTCTCCCTCAAATGCTGAGAGGAATGCTCAGGAAAGAGACTTCTGGTGTTCATGGACTATTTTGTTCCTCTTAGTTTTGTTCCCTATTACTGATTTCACATTCTTCTACCTCACATGGTGAATACCAGTATCTAGAGTTACTTTAAGTACAACACTGAAAATGACATTTTTAGCTATGTTGTACCTTAAAATTTGACTTGGTTTCATCCTTACACCAGAAATCATCTGGAATGCTGAGGTGGAAAACTCTGTACTTATTTCAGTTACTGGGTCCTCTGCCTGGTTTGGCTGTTGCCTTGTGCTTAGTAGTTTCATAATATGCTCAGTGTTTGAGGTGTGTGTGGTAGCTTTTGTGGTGAGGATTATAACGATATTAATGCTTTTTACAAGCTTCTGTGAAATAGTTTCCTGACAGTAGTAGTCTTTAAAAAGTATTTAGGGTTGGAGTTTTTTGTTTCTGTGTTTGTTTTTTGTTGTTGTTGTTGTTTGTTTGTGTTTTTTTTTTTTCTTTCTCTGTTAAAATGTAGGTGACACTTGTACATTTTCTGTTGGCTATTTTGGAGGAGCAAGGACTGTTTGTGTTGGAGAGCAGCCTGCAGTGCTCTATGGTACCTTTGTGTTTCTAAATGCAGTTAGTGAACAGACACTGATGGAACTTTGTCTCCTGAGTAGACTAGATTGCTGTTGTCCTTGTGTTTTATGGAACGAAACAGGTAACCTTACATGACTGGTTTTCTCTCCTGTATGAAGAGTAGGATTAGCTAAAGACTGAAATAATTGAAATGTGGCTTCCTTTAGTCCCTTCCAGAGTCTTTGGAAAGGCTCTTTATTAACAGTACGCCCATAAAATTAAGAGCAGAGGGAAAAGATCGAATTATTTAATTTAGCATATTGTGAAAAATCTCAAATTGTTTTTGAGGAGTAACGCTTTCTGGAGAGAATGCATTATTAAATCAGAAAATATATTGGAAAAATAGCAAGAAATGTAAGATTTTTTGCAAATTACCAAAAGTCCTGTTTCTTAACATACCTTAAAAACAGAAAAATGTTGGTGAGCATGCAATATGATAAGAACCTGATGGTAAATATAAGGAATATATCTGGGCTCTATAATGTATTGGAGGTTGGTGCTTCAGTATATCAGCATGGTGGAAAGGATAGACTGAAGGAGCAAAGGCCAGTGTCTTTGTTTTGTTCCAGGGTAGAGTTAAGTTATGAGTATGCTGTGAGTGAGAATAACTGTAAAATAAAGCATTTCTCCTCCAGAAAGCTGTGTCATTGGAGATGAAAGTGTAATCCTGTGGGTAGCTGACTCCAGTAAGGAGAGGCTGTAGCCTGGGACTGCCATCAGCTGCAGTCAGTCTTCCAGATGTGGTATACAGTTGAATGCAAAGACAGCTGCTGGTGGGTATCTACAAGGGCACAGCTACCCAGGGGGTCCTCATGGCACTGCTGGCTTGGGCTGTACAGATGCTTTCCTTGAGCCTTCTTGGCAGTTGTACTGGCTCAGGTGTTTAAAGGGATTTATGCTGTGTTGGATTAGGGATCTGTGTTAACTCTTCTTGCTGGGTTATTTTTAAGCAGGATCAATTTCCTGAGCTGATTCACTGGCCTGCCCCAGTTTAATGATACAATGAGGCTGGTTAAGATGGTAGCTCCCAAGTTCTTACTGTTGAACTTGGTTTTGCTGACAAAGATTTCTGTTTAACCACAAAGTGGTGTCTGATATAAGAAGAGAAATTCAGAGTTTGCGCCATTTTACTCCTCAACAATTATATGTGATGGGGAGGGAGATACGCAGATGTGGTGTTATCTGTAAACACAAGATTACAAAGCAGCTTGGTGGTGTGCACATCCTTTTGTATTCTCTTGATAAAAGTGAATCCTTGGCCTCAATAAAATCTTGAAGAGAAAGTGTGAAATTAAAAGGAAGATTGGATTAGTTTTCTAGAAAACCTGTAAACAAAATTGTAATGATGATCTGTGGGTGGCAGTGTGAGTAAGAGCAGACCCATGTTCCTTCTGGAGAGAAATGGTTCTTCATCAGCTCTTCCTTCACCTCCTTTCCTGGTTTGGTTTCTGTGAGGATGTTGGATACCGTGTCCCATCTTGACTTGTCTTTTACAGTGTTAACATTTTTATGTGAGAGTTTTCTCTTGCATCATTGTAATGATGGTTCCTTATTACCTTGTTTTTGTCAAATGATTTTGAGTGGCTGTAGCGAGTTATTCTCATTTATCTTTTAATTGACTTTGTAACAGGGTCCTACTAAAATATCTTTGCCTATTTACAGAATCCATTGTGTAAAATATGCATATTTTAAAAGCTGGAGATGACTTCTGAGACCATAATCAAAGCCCCTGTGAGAATTCATTTACTGTTTTCTGAATGCAGTACGAAAGAGGTGCTTGCAATAAAGATGTATTTTTCAGACACCCTCCAAAGTCAATCCATGAAAAAATCTTACTACTCCTTTAATAATAACTCATTAAATCAGTTATATTGATTCATCAGCATAGATAACTGTACTGGAGTTATAATATGAAGGGTGTTTTTCAAGTTTTATTCAGATTATCAGTTGTTTTTTTTACTGCGACTGACTAATGCTCCTATAACTCAGTATGTTGGTATTGTTTGAAGTGAAAACACATATTTCTGTTTTCTGTGGTCTGAATACATGGGCTTGGGGATTTTTTCCCAAGGTGTACAAACCAAAACATTTTGGGTTTAGATTGGACATGTGTTTCAAATTAGTGGAATTATTTTTTTTAATCTAGATTTTGTTTAAGGCCTAGCACACTGTCCCTGTTCCCTGCACACAAGGACAGAACATACTCTATTGTAGGAAACTACTTATCTGCAGTCACCATATTTGATTTTTATTTTTCTCTGGGGAGCCAGAGGATTAGAGCAGATTATAGTGTTGGGATAATGTCTGACTCCTTGTGTTCCATTTAGTCATAAATAAACCACAGAAAAATCTGAATGTTGCTATGGTGATGTTAGTAAAAGCCTGGGATATGGAGGGAGTGAGCCGCTTAGAAGCATAATGTCACTTACAGTAATGAGCATGCTGTCATTAGGACTCTGATGGGTTTACCTGATGCTCTAGCTCTGGTAGCCCACACCAGAATCTGCAAGTAAGTAAATGTAATTCATATGAATATGCTCTGTTCAGTAACTTGCAGCTACTGACCTTGTAACAAATGGAAACTTGTGTTTTGTCTGTTTGCTTTCTAGCTTTAATGTGTTGAAGTTATCACAGAGAAACAAGCAAAAAACTTCCAGTCTTTGTATTCTGCCATTCACATGATGGTCTGGTTGAATTAAAACAACAACAAAAAATAAGTTCTCAGGAATTTTGTTTTAAACTGTGTAAACACATGATTTTCTTCTGGAAGTGTGGAATAAGAAAAGTAAGCTTGCATTAAAATGTGCTTTGTTTGTTTTTAGTCTTTATAACCTGGCTTCGCTGGAACTCAGAGAAAATTTACTGACATATTTACCTGAGTAAGTGACATTTCCTGTATTTGATTGTATTAACATAAAATGCTCTTCTTAAAATCTGCTATCGTATGGATCTGAATGACAGCTAGAAAAAATATTCAGAGCTGATTGACAACATGTATGAGATACTGCTTTATTTCAACAACATCTAGTTACATCCATTACTTCTGGATGCACTTGGTTAGTAGCAGAAGGCTGCAGTTTTTGTTGATTGACTTTGGTCAATAAAAATATTCTGTATAAAATACAGCAGCACCGAACATTTTCCCTGCACACATTGAATGAGTGCGTCAGCAGTGGTAGTGGTGGTTTGGATTGTTCTCTTGCTGAAACTTCCTACCTATGAATGTAGGGTAATAGAATCACAGAATCACCAAGGCTGGAAAACACCTTTAAGATCATCAAGTCCAGCCTATGACCAACACCACCGCTTTGGCTAGACCATGGCACTAAGTGCCACATCCAGCCTTTCCTTGAACACATCCAGGGACAGTGCCTCCACCACTTCCCTGGGAAGTCCATTCCAATGTCTGATGACTTCCACTCTAGGCCTTTGTAGGATTTAAATAAACATTCCATGTTCAGGGATAAGTAACCAAACCCTTCCAAAACCTGGAGATCAATGCCTTGGTGACAAACTAGGCCTACTGATGACTGAAGTATGACTCCATTTACCATTGTTTTTTGGGAAAAAAAACCAGATATCTAAATGTCTCTGTGCTGTCTGTACTGTGGCAGAGGAATTGGTCTTTTTGTAAGATTAGTCAAGTATTTTGGAGATCCTTTTTGGTTACTTAGAAAAAGCCTTTTTCTCTAGTGAAGCAGTTTCCTTCCTTCCTTCACTACCTGGCCGCTTCTCCCAAGAAATTTGGTGACTTATATTCTGTTTGTTTAGGTAATCTAGTAAATATTGAAAATAGATATAACCTATTTTAATGAGAATCTCTTCCCTAGTTGCGTTGGGGTAATTTTTTCCTGTCTATCTACTTGGTACCTCTGTTGTGGCTGTTTATAGCTGTGAACCACAAGGCACTTCAATTGGCAGTGGTCAGAAGATATAAATTGTTGTCTAGGTTTTTGTCATGCTGTGAATTAAGCTATCACAGAAGTTTTTTTGCTTCTGGAATATTCTGATTGTCAGTAATGTAGCTGAGGAATCTTGCTGGCTTTCATGCCTCTGCAGCTTTGGGGAAGGTAAGCAAGAGCTTTACAGCAGACTGCTTCTGAAGTAGAAGGATGGCCCTCTGTGATAATTCATGTTCCAAGAACCTTTTACATCCTTTTGGGCTTTCCTCCATTTGCATCCTGAAATCCCATCTAAAATACCTCAGAACTGGATATGTCATGTTGAGAAGATAAATGATGGATTTAGTGAGTCTTGAGTCACACTGTGCTCACTATGGGGAATTTTTATCCAGTTGTGTAACTGTAAATTTCCCCTAAAAATAAATCTAACTGACTATACTAAACTGTGTGGCATTGTCCACCCTGAGGAACTGAGGGTTAAAATAAAGCATAATTATTTGATTGCCTATACTAAGTTTTAAGTTTCAAGGACATACATTTCTACTGACAAACCAAATTATTTTTTCAGTAAGATATTACTACAAATAGTCTATGCCCAGTAAAATAACTGTCTGTCTACAATACCTTGTAATTTGAAATACAAGTTTCAGTAAAATGAGTTCATTCAAATACATGAGGTTTTTTTTGGTTTCTTCTGATGTGGTTTTGTTTTGACTTATCTTGCAGATCACTTGCCCAGCTGCAGCGACTAGAAGAACTTGATTTAGGAAACAATGAACTTTATCACTTGGTAAGAAAACATGGCTCTGAAATTGCATGTTGATCTTGTTTTAGGCATAATTTAGATTATATTGCTTGTAGGATGCCCAAAATTGAAGAAAGAAAAAATGTAAAGAGGCAGAGTCTTTTATATGTTCAGTGATGAGTTTTGGCAGTGAGATGGTGCTTCCAGGATCTGCTTAGTCTTGCTGCTGATGATTTTACTTTACCCAAAAAACTGCAGCTGATCTCTAGAAAATGAGAGCACTGCATGGACTTTTTCTATGGAAGGAAAAAGAAATGCAAGGGCACAAACTCTTGCCTACACTTGCAGTTACAGTAAACACGTGGGCTTCTGTAAGGAGCTGGATGGGCTGAGCATAGCTCAGCGCTTTCCAGGGTGGGAGTAGGGATCTTTGGGAAAGGGCTGAGGCAAATTGTAGAGGGTTGCAGTGTCTGACATTGTGTCAGATAGATCTACCAAAAGATATCTGTCATCTCCTGTAAACTGACTTAATTAAATGTTGGATTTGCAATAGATGTAGAGTGTGCATACAATTTGTTAGTGCATGTCAGGCAAAGTATGGTAGCTTGTCAAACTGTAACAGTTAGTTTCTACTACAGAGTTCCCAAATGCTGACGGTCACTCCTACGGCATTTAACCGTGGTACCTCTCAATAGAGCTTGAAGTAAGGATTGGTTTACTCAGACTGTAATTATGGGGTTGCTGTTTGGTTTTTACTTGGAAGTTCCCATACTACTTAACATTATTGCTTTTTATGTTATAGCCAGAAACAATTGGTGCACTTTTCAATCTCAAAGACCTCTGGCTGGATGGAAACCAGTTAGCTGAAATACCTCAGGTAAAGATGAGCTCTGCTGGTACTGTTTTGAAGATGCCTTTGAAAGAAACCCTTTTCATTCATATCTGAAGGGAGGTGGTTTAAAATGGAATAGTTTTCTCAATTAATTTTGCCTGGCTTTGGTTTTGGATGTGTGCTTTCTTTTAATAAGTTCCTCTGCAAGGAATTATACATGTTATCATATGTTGTCTTAAGTTTTCTTTTAAATGTTTTGATAAAGGAATTGTTTCCTAATAGGCACATTGTTCGATTTATAGGATGACACATCCTCCTTTTCCAGTCCTAGCTCACTGGTCAGGGAGCTGCTAGTTGGCTGAGCTAAATAACCCTCACCTTTTATATCTATCTAAATTGCAGTTTTGACGATGAATTTTTTTCCAGTCATCATCTTCCATTAAAATACAGTGTTTGGGAGATGTACAATAATAGTTCTGTTGACATTAGTAGAAATCTTGGTTTATGAAGGCAAATCCTCCATCTGACATCAGTCAGGTGAGGGGCCCTAGCATTTAAACCTCACAGCGCTCTAAATTGCCAAAGAACTGTGACAACATGAATGGTTTCTTTTCCCTCTTTTTCCTTTAGACCCAAGTCAAAACTTGTTTTTTCCAGTTCCTCGTGCAGTTTGCTGTTATTTGCTATATTAATCTCATCAACAGTGTAACTTGGACATCAGCTACAGTTTAGTGGGCTTTGTAAACTTTGTTGTTGTTGACTTGGCCTAATAATTTTTTGAGTAGACGTAGTTGGACACTGAGAATCATTCATAAAAAATCAAGTGTGTCTTCAGCAGCTGTTTTTTTTTTACTGGAGCTGGCCATTATTGTGTATTTTGTCTGATGTCCAAAAGATGAACTTGTAGGGTAAAGGGTGTGTGTGTTTAATGGAATATTCTCTTAAGAGGCAAACATTTGTGAAAAAAAAGGGACTGATTTTGTGAGTTAGGATCAAGACTGACACTGTATGAAAATTCAATATTTTTGAAAGTAAAGGACACTTCTGCCACATCCTTTCTGTTCTCTGAAAGATGGTTTGGATTACTAAAATGAGAACTATTCTTGAGTGTCTATGGGGATGTCTGTGTACATGGGGAATGGGAGCATGTTCTGATGGCTAACAGGGACAAAGATATTTCTCTGACAGCCCTTTAAGCTAATTAGTGGATTATCATTGTAAAAAAAAAATAAAAATAAATCATTATTGTTGTAGATGATGGCAGTATAACTTGGCAGTTCAAGCCTGTTGGCTAAAGCAATGCTCCCGATTCCTTTTTCTACATTTGTGGTAGTTCAGAGATGTGAAGATATTAAGTCCCTAGATGTCATGGCATGTTGCTGTATCAGTCAGGAGAGACTAATGCTGATTTGCCTGAGGCTAATTGGGAGGGGCACACTTTAATTATGTGGAGGTTGATAATCTGTAGTTCTGAAAAAACAACTTTGCAGTCTTTACTTGAGGAAAACTCCAGTTTTGGCTGGTGCTTGCTTGGGTGTGCTCAGCAAACCTTGTCTGACTGCTGAAGCTAGTCTTAACAGTTAGAATAAGAAGCTGGGACTGAATCATTTGGTGTGCTTTTCATATGCAAATGTAATTACATACTCTTTCCTACATTTAGAGGTCATACAAAGAATGGCCAATTTAGAGGTCAAACAGAGAATTGTTTTTCTTTCTGGAATTTCACTGCAATGGTACATTTTTCAAATTGCTTTGTTACATGTTTGGGCATGACTTAAATTTTTTGTCTTGTATCGCAGGAAGTAGGAAACCTGAAAAACCTGCTTTGTCTGGATGTTTCTGAAAACAAATTGGAATGCCTTCCTGAAGAAATTAGTGGTCTGACTTCTTTAACAGACTTGCTTGTTTCTCAGAATTTACTTCAGGTTTTACCTGATGGCATTGGTAAGTACAAGGTTAATACTATCACACAGAACCTTTTAATCCACTATAAATTGGAAGTCCTTTGTTTTCAAGTCTTTTGAAGTCTTTTTGTGCAAGAGATGAGCTTGTCTCAGCTTTTTTTTTTTTTTTTTTGCTTAGTATGAAATGCATAGCTGTATTAATTTCACATTTTAATTGTCTGCATAATGACTATCTCGTAATTCTTTTTTGGGCTTCACTTGTTACCTCCCCCCAGTTAATATATCCTTTTGCTTCCTACTGTGTTCACATCACCATCATAACTCTTGAACATTGTAAATGTCTGGCTTGTAACATGCTGTAGGTCACTTGGTAAGGTTGACAGAATTGCTACAAAAAATACATCCTTTTCAGTGGGGATGTGTAATTATTTTTAATTGGACAATGTGATTAATTCTGTACTGGACCCAGTGGAAGGCAGTTCCAGCTTCAGACCATGACTTCTTACCCTTGAGAATCCAGACTGCTGCTTTTCTGTGCCTGACCCCATAAACCAGGTTTAATAACTGAGGAATGTTTTCTGAAGCATTACTTTTTTAAGGTAAACGTTTTTACTCATGCAGTAGTTGTGACATGTAGTCAGGGAGGCATTGCTTTGCAGCTACTCATCAGCTGTTTTTATGGAGAGTTTCGTGTTGCAAGAGTGCCTTCTTGCCAGGATTTTTGTTGTTTGTTGTGTTTTTTTCCCCCTAAAAAATAAAGGTATAGGGGAAGGAGGACGTGAATGTGGCTTAACCAGGCATGTAGAAAAGAATGGACAGACCTTCCCCCTCCTTCCATATACTATATGAGCCTAAAAAAAGATAAATATTCTTCTAGAAGTTGAATTTGGGGGAGTGGGGTGACTTCTGTGGGTCCTACACTTCACTAGTGTGTGTGTGTGGGCAGAGTTGTAGCAGCCTTCTCCAATGACCTGAGCTATCCAGGGCAGTTGTACATCAGAAGCACGGCTTCTGAAAGGCTACAAGCCCATGCAGCCCAGAGGGGAGCTGGTGAGCATTAGGCACTGCTGCTTCTCCAGAATCCTGTTAAATGGAGACCCTTTGCATGGAAGACAATTGCAAAAGACCAGGTAATTTCAGATCAGGCCTAGTTTGCTTATACTTTTTATAACATTTTCTTGTTGTAACTTGTTAGAAATGCAAAAAAAAAGATTTTGCTACTTATGTACATATAGTAGCTTACTTGTATTTGTAAAATTAGGTAGGTGTCACGATCCGTGACCTATTATATCTCCTTATTGGAGTGTATTAACTTATCAGGATTTGCTGAGAGATCCACACGTGGGTATCGCCTCACACAGAGGATACAGGAACTTATGTCCTGACTTTTTTGAGTGAATAACTCGCTCAGTGCTTACTAAATTTCTAACAACAGCAAGGTTTATTGTGGGGAAAACAAAGCAATTTGGGGCAGGAGGTTCAAAAGGAGTGATTACAACACATTAAACATATATGGGTACACCTTAGTTACACATCTTATTCACGTGAGGGAAGCAGAGGGGAGGGATTTGCCCGAATGGCTGGATTATATTTTCCCCTATAAGCTGGGGTAGCCGGAATTGTCTCACCACGGCAGTGCAGGTTCGATGAGCTGGTAGCAAAGAGGCTGCAGGCACTCCAAGCGCAGGTCGCCCCCCCCACCACAAAGCGGCGGCAGTCGGTGCGCGGCTCCGGGACCGTAGGTGTGCAGACGCTGGAAACGCGGCGGTTTCAGCGGCGCTGGGACTTTTGGCAGCAGCGGCGGCGGGCAGGCAAGC